GTGCAATGAAGGGAGGATATCTGCGTGCATCCCTAGAGATGTCAGCTTGCCATCAGATGTGGGCAATTCCTTTCTGTGTCCACCTGCACGCCTGCTTTCCAGTCTATTTGCTGTATTTGCCTGTCTGTGTGTATTTGGGGGGCTGCGTTTCTTCATGACGGTCAGTGCACCTGCTTGGCCTGTTATGTATCTGTTCCATCACAAGGGCCTTTATATCCATCACGTGTGTTATGGGTTAAGTTGCATTGCTGCCGCTGCCAAGTTGCTTCAGTCGTGCCCGACTCTGTGCGACCCCATAGATGGCAGCCCACCAGGCTCTGCTGTCCCTGGGATTCTCCAGGCAAGAATATTGGAGTGGGTTGCCATTTGCATTGACCCCCCCCCCCAAATAGAGACCCAACACCCAGGATCTCAGAATGTGACCTTATCTAGAAATAGGATCTTGGCAGATATGATGAGTTAATTTGAGGCCACACTGGAGTAAGGGGGGCCCTTAATCCAGTTAGATTGGTGTCCTTATGGTGGTTTAGTTGCTAAGTCATGTCTGACTCTTTTGTGACCCCATGGACTATAGCCCTCCTGTGGGACTGCAGGCTCCTCTGTCCATGGGGTTTCCCAGGCAAGAATCCTGGAGTGGGTTGCCATTTCCTCCTCCAGGGGATCTTCCCAACCCAGGAATAGAACCCATGTTTGTTGCATTGCAGGCGAATTCTTTACCAACTGAGCCACAGGGAAGCCAGTGTCCTTATAGAAGGGAGAAATTTCTTTGTTTTTTGTTCTTGTTTTCACCTCATGGCTTGCAGAATCTTACTTTCCAAACTGAGGATCAAACTCTGGTCCTTGGCAGTGAAAGCATGGAGTCCTAACCACTGGACCACCAGGGAATTCCCCACGAGGGAGAGATTGGACACATGCGCACAAGTAGGATGCTGTGTGAACACTGGGGTTGTGCTCCCACAAGGCGAGAAGAGTTGAGAGAGAGATACCTGAGACAGATTTCTCTCCACCATCTTCAGAGGGACAACAGCCCCCCGCTGACACCTTGATCTTGAACTTCTGGTCCCCAGAACTGTGAGACAATCCATTTGTGTGGTTTCATTAAGCCATTCATGGCAGGAAAGCTATGACAAACTCAGTGTGTTTGTTAGTCGCTCAGTCATGTCCAGCTCTTTGTGACCCGATGGATTCTAGCCCACCAGGCTCCTCTGTCCATGGAATTTTCCAGGCAAGAATACTGGAGTGGGTTGCCATTTCCACCTCCAGGAAACATCAGTTTGCTAACAAAGGTCCATATAGTCAAGGCTATGGTTTCTCCAGTAGTCATGTACAGATGTGAGAGTTGGACCATAAAGGTTGAGCACCAAAGAACTGATGCTTTTGAACTTGAGCGTCCCTTGAACTGCAAGGAGATCAAATCAGTCCATCCTAAAGGAAATCAGTCCTGAATATTCATTGGAAGGACTGATGCTGAAGCTGGAGCTCCAATACTTTGGGCACTTGATGCAAAGAGTCGATTCACCAGAAGAGACCCTGATGCTGGGAAAGATTGAAGGCGGGAGGAGAAGAGGATGACAGAGAATGAGATCGTTGGATGGCATCACCGATTCAAAGGACATGAACTTGGGCAAACTCTGGAAGATGGTGATGGACAGGGAAACCTGGAGTGCTGCAGTCCATGGGGTTGCAGAGTCAGACATGACTTGGTGACCGAGCAACAACAACAATTAGGCCACTCGGTTTGTGGTACTCAGTTGCGGCACCCTGAGCTAATACAGTGCGTGTGTGCGTGCATCCCCGGGCAGCTGGATGTAACTGACAGCCAAGGCCTGGGAAGTTCCCGGTCAGGGCAACGTGGGACTGCCCTGTGTTCTACTTGCTAGTTTATTGGTTGCGCTGGGTCTTTGTTGCGGCGCACGGACTTTCTCTACTTGCAGCGAGCAGGGCGACTCTTGTGGTATGTGGGCTTCTCTTGTTGCGGATGCCAGAGGGCTGGCTTCGGTGCTTGTGGCACAGGGGCTTAGTTGCTCCCCGACGTTTGGGATTCTCCCAGAACAGGGGTTGAACCTTGTCCCTTGCGTTGGCAGGCAGATTCTTAACCACTGGACCCCGAGGGAAGTCCCTGCCCTGTGTTCCTTTGAACCTGTCTATGCCAATACATTTGGGTGACAGCTGTTCCCTGGAACCCAGCTCCACACCATCTGCAGGCTACGCCAGGGCACACCTGAGACCACGCCTCACCTCCGCCCCCGGTCAGAAGTGGCCCCCTTCAGCAGCTGTCTGCCTGGGCCTCTGGGGGTACACAACAGGGCAACTCCGACCTCTTCTCCAGCCCCGCGCTCTCTCCCTCCCCCTCTAGCACAGTAAACGCCTGGTAATTTTCAGAACCTACAAGGCTCACGTTCAATTCTCTTTCCCCTAAACCCACTCCACTTTTCTTTTTTTCAAATTGAAGTATAGCTGATTTACAGTACTGTGTTAGTTCCAGGGGTATAGCAAAGCGATTCAGTTTTACATCTTTTTTTTTTTTTTTTGGATTTCTTCCCATATAGATTGTTACAAGATATTGAGCATAGTTCCCTATACTATAGAGTAGGTCCTTATTGTTTGCCTCTTTTATATAGTGCGTAGACATTAACCTCATACTCCTAATTTATCTCACCCTCCTCGCTTTCCCTTTTGGTAACCACAGGTCTTTAAAATCTATGAGTCTGTTTCTATTTTGTAAATAAATGATTGTATGGGGTTTTTTTTAGTTTCCACGGATAAGGGATATCATACAGTATTTGTCTTTTTCTGATTCACTTTGCTTAGTATGAGAGTCTTTAGGTCCATCCACGTTGCTGCAGATGACAAGATTTCTTTCGTATCATGGCTGAGTAGTATTCCAGTGTGTGTGTGTGTGTGTGTGTGTGTGTGTGTGTACACATCTTTAGCCATTCATCTGTTGATGGTATTGATGGTGCATCCCAATCCTCAGAAAGACACTAGTCATATTGACTTAGGGTCCACCCTAATGACATCACTTTAACTTAATTAGCTCTTTAAAGAACCCATCTTCAAATATAGTCAGCGTCATGGATTCCTTCTTATCACAAAAGTGAGTGAATAAATCAATGAATTAATGAATGAATGATAGAAAGGGCTTTCTGGCAGGTTCTGATTTTATTCCAAGTAGTGACTGCTTCTCCCTGGTTGAGGAGTAAATCTTTGCCAACTGATGTTGCTCTGGCCAATGAGATGTCTTCTTTTCATTCCCAAGAAGAAATACGAGGAAACCACTGAGTGGTCCAGTCATTTCTCTTTTACTCCTGCCACAAGCCTGGCACATCCCAAGGCTGCAGTGCCTTCTCCTTCCAGAAGCTTCTTCTTCAGCAGAGTTGAGGCCAGTGCATGAAAGAATTATGTGACATTGAGATGAGAAATCATTTGTCACAGCAGCAACACTCAGCCTAAGGTGACAGATTTTTTTCTCCTACGAGTTATTCCTTCAGGAAATCTACCAAAGATGTGACTTCCGGGCTTTCAAAAGCTTAAGGCAAGATTCTGGTGCTCACTTCGGCAGCACAAACATTAAAATTGGAACAGCCCCTGTGCAAGGATGACAGCAAATTTGTCAAGTGTCCCATATGTTTGACATGGATGGACCTGGAGCCCTTCACTCTATACAGAGTGAAGTAAATCAGACAGAGAAAAATAAATGTGTATTAACACATTTATGTGGGATCCAGAAAGGTGGTATAGATGAACATAGTCCCAAAACAGAAACAAGACACAGATGCAGAGAAGAGACGTGTGGACACCAAAGGGGAAAGGAGGGAGGGCAGGATGATCTGGGAGACTGGGACTCACACATATACGCTGTCAATACTGTGTATAAAATAGGTAACTAATGAGAACCTGCTGGACAGCGCCCGGAACTCTACACGATGCTCTGTGGCGACCTAAACGAGAAGGAAATCCAAAAAAGGGGGGGTATATGTGTACACATAGCTGATTCACTTTGCTGTAGAGTAGAAATTAATATAACATTGTAAAGCAACCTTTGCCGACAAAGGTCCATATGGTCAAAGCTTTGGTTTTTCCAGTAGTCATGTACAGATGTGAGAGTCGGACCATAAAGAAGGCTGAGTGTCGAGGAATTTTTGCTTTCAGACTGTGGTGCTTGAGAAGGTTCTTGAGCAAGAGTCTTGCACTCTGGACAGCAAGGAGATCAAACCAGTCAATCCTAAAGGAAGTCAACCCTGAATACTCACTGGAAGGACTGATACTGAAGCTGAAGCTCCAATACTTTGGCCTTCTGTAATGAAGATCTGACTCATTGGAAAAGCCCCTGATGCTGTAAAGATTGAGAGCAGGAAAAGAAGGGGATAATGGAGCATGAGATGGTTGGGTAGCATCACCGACTCAATGGACATGAATTTGAGCAAACTCCAGGAGATGGTTAAGGACAGGGAAGCCTGGCACACTGCAGTCCATGGGGTCACCGAACAATCTGAATGTAAAATTCTTTCCTGCCACATAGGAGTCCCATTTCCAGATTTCAGGCTTTATTTGTTTTTATATTCTAAACTTTTAATTTTCTATTTGCGTATAGCCAATTAACAAACAATGTTGTGATGGTTTCAAGTGAATAGTGAAGGGACCCAGCCATATATACACATGTGTCCATTCGCCCCCAAACTCCCCTCCCATCCAGGCTGCCATGTAACCTTGAGGAGCAGAGTTCCATGTGCTATACACAGTAGGTCCCTGTTGGTTATCCATTTAAAATATAGCAGTGTGTACATATCCATCCCAAACTCCCTAACTATCCCTTCCTCCCATCCTCCCTCCACCATCCCACCCCACCGGCAACCATAAGTTCATTCTCTAAGTCTTCGAGGTCTTATTTTAAATGACAGGGAAAGGTGACAGGGCTGGAAAACAGGAGTCAGTGAAGGGGCTTGTGTCTGTCCCAGCTCCCTCTCCCATCATTCCCCTTGCAGGTCTGACACCGTCCATCCATTCATCACTTTATTGAAAGTGGTTGTCTGGAGCCCCACCTTCTCAAGGGGACACAAGAGGAAATTCATGTGCTATAAATTAACCATGGCAGGGCATCATCCCTGGAGCCCCGCCAGCTGGACACTAGCCCTCCACAGTCCATCGCAGACTCTCAGCCCGCCAGGATCTGTCCCAGCTCCTGGCCCCACTGCCTGTTCATCCTGGGCTTGGAGCCTGGAATCTCTCATCTCTCTGCCAATGTGCCAAGACTCAGCAGTACTCAGAATAGTCCTCTTCCACATAGTTGGACGGGAACCAGCCAACCTGGAAAGAGACAGGGAAGCGGTCAGGGCGGCCTCTCTGCACATCCTGCCGCTGTTCCTTGACACACCAGCCAGGTCTCCTCCTGCCTCAGGGCCTTGGCACCTGCCGCATCTCCTACCCCAGGAAGTACCTCCTCCAGACACACGCTCGGCTGACCACCTGTACCTCCTCCTGCCCTTTACTCATGCGTCACCTTATCCATACGGACTTGTAACCATCCTATTTAAGGACTGCAAACCTCACCCATCCCGACACTCTTTACCCCCACTTACTACTTTTCCATAACACTTTTCACCATCTAACTGATTATATATGTTACTTATTTATGGACGTGTTCTCTGTTCCCCCTCCCTTCACTGCAACAGGACAGGGATTTTTGTCTGTCTGAGTTCCAAAACTCATCACTGAGTTCCAAAAACCTAGAATAGTTCCTGGAACACAGTAGATACTTAATAAATATTGAAAAGATAGATGGATGGATGGATGAATGGAATGATGGATGGATGATGGAATGATGGATGGATGCTGGAAAGATGGATAGATGGAATGAATGGATGGATGAACAAAGGATGGATGGATGTAATAATGAACAATGTACAGATGGACAAAATGATGGATGGATGGATGGGTGGGTGGATGGATGGGTGGGTGGATAAATGGATGGATAGAACAATGGATGGATGGATGGGTGGATGAATTCTTTATAGCCCAGACCTTCCTAAACACCCCAGAAGGCTCCTTCACACCCTATTTTTCCTCCATTGCACAATAAATTTACCCTCTATGGTTCCTAAAACTGTTCTCCTAAGCAATTATCCAGAGGTCACTTTTCATGTTACCCTCTGGTAGAATTTAAGCTCCTAACCACTGTCCTTATCTTCATTCAACAAATATTTTTTGAGAAACTAATACAAGCAAGGGCAATATGCTGGAGACTAGAAATTCATCAGCAGATGAAATAAAGAAGACTCTCTGCCTTTGTGAGACAAAAATAAGAAGCAAAGAGAAGCAAAGTTTTCTGAGAAAATCTGAGTTCCCTCCTAAAAGTCCAAATGCAGGCAAAGAACACAGAAGGCAAAAGTAGTTGGTCTGCCTCTTCATGCATTCAACAAATATTGAGCAACTACTATGTGACAGTCTGTGTTCCAGGCACTGGTGACACTGAAGTGAATAAGACAGACAAACTCCTCCCTTCAGGTTCCCTCAAACATGCCACTCACTCTCTCACCCCAGGCCCTTTGCACATGATGGTTTGTTTGCAATAGTTTCCCACACTGGTCCCCCTCCCCACCCCCACTGTGACCTTTTTACCTGGCTAACTTTACTCATCCCTCAGTGATCAGCTTGCCTTTCAGAAGGTGTCCTGACCTCATCCAGGGTGAGTCAGGGGTTCCCTGGAGGTTCCCACGGTGCCTTACGAATCCCCATCTCAATCTTGACCACTCACTATTACGAGGGCATGCTCAAAGTTCTACACTTCCCACTAAACTATGAGTTTCATAGGGCAGTGCCTCCTCGGCACCCAGCAGAAGGGCACATAGTAGGTGCTTAATAAATAAATGCAAGATGCATGCATGAAATCTCTGTCCCTTCCTCCTTTCCAACCAGGGACGCCCCCCTGCCCACCCTCTCCAGTCCACCACCCAGGACAGCCCCACTGTGACTGCCGAGCCCCACCCCAACTCACCCGGCCGTAGATCTCCCCTCGCCACCAGCCCTGCTGCCCCTTCTTGTTAAGGATCTTGATAATGTCGCCCTCTTTGAGGGACAGCTCTGATCGGTCCCGGGCGCAGAAGTCATAGCGGGCTTTGGCCGTGCCAAAGTATTTGGTGCTCCCGGCTGTACGGCAGAGACATGGGAAACAGCCCCGATTAGAGCCCTCCAGCCCACCCACCACCTGCGGAGGACAATGCTCTCAGGAAAATGCGCTGGGATAAAGGACTCCGCAGTGCTTCTTTCCACTGAGTGCTGGGCGCCCTGTGTTCTGAGGGAATACAGCTGTCTTCCCAGAATCATTCTTCCAGCCCAACCAGCGTGCAAATTTAGAAGATAACACCATATATGATCTTTTAAATGTTTTGTGTCTATTCATGCTTTCCCGGTGGCTCAGATGGTAAAGAACTATTTGTAATGCAGGAGACCCTGAGTCGGGAAGATCCCCTGGAGGAGGAAATGGCAACCCACTCCAGTATTCTTGCCTGGAAAATAAAGTTTATTGTTGTCTTAGTCACTCAGTCGTGTCCGACTCTGTATGACCCCATGGGCTGTAGCCTGGCAGGCTCCTCTATCAATGGGATTATCCCAACAAGAATACTAGAGTGGGTAGCCATTCCCTTTTCCAGGGGCTCTTCCCGACCCAGGGATGGAACCCGGGTCTCCTGCATCGCAGGCAGATTCTTGACACCATCTGAGCCACCAGGGAAGCCCAGGAGAAGGTTATCGATACTGATTAATGCCTGATATTAATACAAAATTAAAGGCTTAAAAGATACAGATGAGCACCCTTCTGGTTTCTTGTATCCTCATTTTCCCAAATACAAAAGTAACCCGTATCATCCAAGCAAATGGATATGCAGATCTCTCAGGAGCAAAGGGACACATTGGAAGTGGGAAGGAGTTCAGGCTCCTTCACAGAGAGAGGACGTCTCCACGCCCACTGGAAGCAATGCCCTCCGCATCCCCGCACATTCCCTCCACAACGGGAAGGAGCTGGCACTGCGGCCCCGTCTGCAGGCCTCCTACCTGCTGGTTTGCTGATGGCTCTCCTCTCGGGCTCCTTGAAGGGGAACTGCAGAGTGGTGTCCAGCGACTTGAAGCAATCCTTCAGAGAGTTCTGCTGGTAGAATTCCACCAGCTCCTAGAGAGAGAGCAGCAGGACAGATGCTCGTCCAGAGGGCAGCCCGCAAGCGAGGGAGGCAGAGCTGGAAGGAACCTCACCCCACTCCTCCTTCTGTTGTCTCCCTGGCAACAGACTCCTTGAAAGCTCCCCATGACAGGGAGCTCACTCCCTTCCCAGCAGCCAGGACCATTTTATGGGGAAGAAATCACATTGTCTCAGGACAGTTCTCCTAATATCCAGTTTGTCTCATGATAAACTTACCAAAGAATCAACTTGCTCGACAACCAATTCACCAAAACCAACCAGCCCCCAACCCCACCCTCTGGGTGTCAAGACCTCTATTTTTACAAATAATTGTATTAATAATAAATGCTATTTATTAAGCAACTACTGTGTGCTGGTCAGTGTGCAACCACACATCATCACAATCTCTTAATAACCTAGAGGGGTGGAAGAGAGGCTCAAGGGGGAGGAGATATATGTATATTTATGGCTGATTCACATTATTGTATCACAGAAACCAACACAACATTGTAAAGCAATTATCCACTAATTAAAAATAAATATTTAGGGGTTTCTCTGGTGGCTCAGTAGTAAAGAGTCTGCTTGCCAGTGCAGGAGACATGGGTTCCATCCCTGATCCAGGAGGATCCCACATGCCACTAAAATCCCTGCGCCACGACTACTGAGCCTGTGCTCTAGAGTCCAGGAGCTGCCAGTGCTGATCCCATGAGCCACAACTACTGAAGCCCACAAGCCTTACAGCCCATGGTCTGCAGCAAGAAAAGCCACAACCAGGAGAAGCCTGGCACCTCGACTAGAGTCTAGCCTCTGCCTGGGGCAAGTAGGGAAAAGCCCGCACAGTAATGAAGACCCAGCCCCAGGTGTGTTTTTTTTTTCAGTTTTAAAAAATAAATATTTTTTAAAATCTCTTAATAATCATGGGAGATAAATACATTGATGAGTCCCCTATTTTATAGATGGAGAAACTGAGTCACAGAGAAGGCTCATCCAGGGTCATACAGCTAGAAAAGGACAGATCCAGAATTCAGTCCTAGGACAAGGGATAGAGTGTAGCAGCCAAAAGCTGGTCTCTTTGTGAATGTGTGAAAGTCGCTCAGTCGTGTCTGACTTTTTGCAACCCAATGGATTGTACAGTTCATGGAATTCTCCAGGCCATAATACTGGAGTGGGTAGCCTATCCCTTCTCCAAAAGATCTTCCCAAGCCAGAAATTTAACTGGGGCCTTCTGCATTGCAGGCGGATTCTTTACCAACTGAACTATCAGGGAAGCCCGATGCTTGGCAGAAACCAATACAATACTATAAAGCAATTATCTTTCAATTAAAAATAAATACATTTACTTATTTTTAAAAATGCCAATGTCATGGGTGATGGGAGTGGCTTTTTTTTCTTTTTTTTTTTTTACAGAATATAGTTGTTTTATGTAATTGAAACCTTTTTCCAGTTCATTACAAGTGTGAAAAAACACTCAAAACTCTGGTTGTTTATTTCATTTTTGTTGGATTAACACATTCTCTCACTCGGAAAACAAACAGACAAAAAACGTCAACGTCATGAAAGACCAAAGAAATAAATAAAAGACTGGGGAGCTCTCGCAAATTAAGAGACACACGAAGGAGATGAATGCAATGCGTGATTCCCCTGATTACATCCTGGGGACGAAAGGCTGTAATAAACATAATTGTGGCCATCAGGGAGCTTGGAAAGTGTTCTGTATTAGGTAATAATTTTGTATCAATGTTCAACTCCCTGACTGTGATAATGAAGCGGTGTTGAGGGGAAAAAAATTGTCTCGGCTCTTCAGATATGCATGCTGAAGTACTTATAGGAAGAATTTTTTAAATTTATTTTTAATTGGAGGATAATTGTTTACAATGGTGTGCTGGTTTCTGCCACACAACAATGTGAATCTGCTCTAAGTGTACATACGTCCCCGCCCTCTTGGATCTCCCTGCCACCTTCTGCCCCTTCCCGCCTGTCTAGGCCATCACAGAGTACCAGGTTGATCTCCCTGTGTTATAAAGCAACTTCCCATTAGCTATCTATTTTGCACATGGTTCTGGAAAAGGGCATGGCAAACCACTCCAGTGTTCTGGCCTGGAGAATCCCATGGACAGAGAAGCCTGGCGGGCTACAGTCCATGGGGTTGCAAAGAGCTGGACACGACTGAATCAACTTAGCACAGCATCACACGTGGTAATGTGTATGTTTCCATGCTATTCTCTCAATTCGTCCCACCCTCTCCTTCCCCCACTCTGTCCACACGTCTGTTCTCTATGTCTTCATCTTTAATACCGCCCTGCAAATAGGTTCATCAGTACCATTTTACTAATTTATAGGAAGGATCTTGATATCTGAAAAGGCTGTAATAAACATAATTGTGGCCATCAGGGAGCTTGGAAAGTGTTCTGTATTAGGTAATAATTTTGTATCAATGTTCAACTCCCTGACTGTGATAATGAAGTGGTGTTGAGGGGAAAAAAATTGTCTCGGCTCTTCAGATATGCATGCTGAAGTACTTATAGGAAGAATTTTTTAAATTTATTTTTAATTGGAGGATAATTGTTTACAATGGTGTGCTGGTTTCTGCCACACAACAATGTGAATCTGCTCTAAGTGTACATACGTCCCCGCCCTCTTGGATCTCCCTGCCACCTTCTGCCCCTTCCCGCCTGTCTAGGCCATCACAGAGTACCAGGTTGATCTCCCTGTGTTATAAAGCAACTTCCCATTAGCTATCTATTTTGCACATGGTTCTGGAAAAGGGCATGGCAAACCACTCCAGTGTTCTGGCCTGGAGAATCCCATGGACAGAGAAGCCTGGCGGGCTACAGTCCATGGGGTTGCAAAGAGCTGGACACGACTGAATCAACTTAGCACAGCATCACACGTGGTAATGTGTATGTTTCCATGCTATTCTCTCAATTCGTCCCACCCTCTCCTTCCCCCACTCTGTCCACACGTCTGTTCTCTATGTCTTCATCTTTAATACCGCCCTGCAAATAGGTTCATCAGTACCATTTTACTAATTTATAGGAAGGATCTTGATATCTGCAAATTACTCCTAAATAGTGCGAAATAAGTGTGTGTGTGTGTATGTGTGTGTGTGTAGAGGCAGAGAGGGAGAGAAAGAAAGCAAAAGAGGAATATTAACAACCAATCAGTAAAACCAGGTGAAAGGCCCACAAATATTCATGACGCTATTCCAGTAACATCTCAGTAATTTTTCAGAAATAAAAAAAATGGGGGGAGGAAGAATTTTCAGAATAAAAAGTTTGGGGAAGAAAAAGATGTGGAATGAATGAATAGTCCCTAACTTTTAGGGGAGTTAAGGATCTGTTTGAAGCTCAAATGAAATTTGAGACACTTTTCTCAAAAAAATAAAATAAATAAAGATATATGCAAAATTCTAGATTTTTTTCCAGACAATTCAAAGCTCCTCAAGGATCCACAGACCACAGGTAGGATCCATTATCAATGGGCTTAAGAGGTCTAAAAGATAGTCCAAAATTCCATGGCAACAAATAGAAGCAAAAACACTTGAAAGGCCTCTGGATTCTCCATGAAATGGTCATTAAACAGATTAAGGAGAGCCAAATCATTTTAAATTGGGGTATAGTTGCTTTACAATGTTGTGTTCATTTCTGCTACACAGCAATGTGAATCAGCTCTATGTATATACATATATCCCCTCTTTTTTGGATTTCCTTCCCATTTAGGTCACCAGAGAGCATTAAGTAGAGTTCCCTGTGCTATGCAGCAGGCTCTCATTAGTTTTCTGTCTCACACATATTAGTGTATACATGTCAGTCCCAGTCTCCCAATCTATCCCACTCCCCTTTTCCCACCTTGGTATTCATACATTGGTTCTCTGTATCTGTGTCTCTATTTCTGCCTTGAAAAAAGAGCTAACTCTTGATGTCTGACAAAAACAGAGACTCTGCCATTCCATGATACCAGACGAGAACTAAACCTCAGCTTCCCCCATTTGTGAAATGGAAACTCAGAGCTGAGCGAATGACCTGCAGTCCTAGTGATCATATGTCTGGCACTCAACAAGTGCTTTGCAAATGACCACTGCAGCTACTGTTGTTATTATTATTATTCTCATTGTTGGTGATTAGAAAAACAAGTTTAAAGCCAGTTGCTCCATAGTGCCTGTTGGAACGGTTATTTTGGATGGAGGAAAAGGGGTCCTAAGGTGGAGCCTCAGAGAGGGTCCAACTTAGACTCTGAAAGACTGGGGTTAGGAGTAGATTGACCCTTACCGTAAGCCCCCTGAAAGCTTTCTTCTCTGTAATCCGGTACAGTCCTTCTGCTGTCATGATTTTAATATGCTTGACTTCAACATTATACCTGCATGCAGGGAAAGAGAGCAAGATGTCCCTGAGAGCTGAGTCGGGGGATTTAGGCCCATTTCCTATCATGTCTCAGCCCCAGGCTATACCCGCCCCCAACCATGGAAGAAGGGTACTTGGCTACTGGAGGGAAGGGGCGACCACTGGAACCCAACAGAATCCCTTCCCTGGAGACTTGTTCTAAGCCTTCATTTCTTAATCTATTAAGCCTTCATCTATTAATGATTAATAGGAATCATCTTCCTTAATTCAAGGTTGTTGAGAAATCAAATGGACTCTGTAAGCAAGGCATCCTTCCAGAATAGATTGGATGAAATCTCCACTTCCACCAATACAAAGGACCATAGTATCTAAAGGATGTAGGAGAGGGGAATTCATTTCCACCAATATGGCGGACCACAGACTAGTAAGGACCCGGAAGAGACATGAATTGGCAGGAATGGTTCTGTCTACATGAACTAGATAACCAAAAAAAAATCTCCTACTTCTAAAAACCCCTAGAAATGCTGAGAAAAGAATGCTGAACTCTTAAAAAAAAAAAAAAGTAAGGGAAATCCCCCAAAGGACAAAATGAGGATGAAACTTAAAAGTATGTGTCAATTCAATTTTAGCTGTGCAATGCAGCTTGCAGGATCTCAGTTCCCCAACCAGGGATCAAACTCGGGCCCTCAGTAGTCCTAACCATGGAAAGTAAAACTGTTAGTTGCTCAATTGTGTGCAATTCTTTGTGACCCCATGGACTGTAGCCCACCAGGCTCCCCTGTCCACGGAATTCTCCAGGCAAGAATACTGGAGTGAGTTGCCATTTCCTTCTCCAGGGGATCTTGTTGACCAAGGGATCAAACCTGGGTCTCCCGCATTGCAGGCTGGGAAGCCCCAACTGGACCAGGGAACTCCCTAGAGCGTACATCCTGATCACATAGAAATATGAGATGAGTTATTGTGTCCTTGTTGGGTAGAGTTGGCTCTGAGACCCACCCTCACCTCAAAAGGCTGGACTGTCAAGTCAAAAAGCTCCATCCTCAGGGGGGAAAAAGTGTTCTAGAAAAACTCCACCCATCAGCACAGCAGGGACCATTTGAGTCTGTTTGTCTCAGACTCAAAATAGAAAAGTTACACTTAAGAATTCATCACCTTAACCTCACCTTCTTATGGGTTTAGCATTTATATTTAAACCACCTGTATACACTGGGAAACTAAGGAATTAAACAAAACTATCTTAATATGAAAAAGAAGTAAACTTGTTGGTGATTCCCAACGGAAGCAAATGCAAAATCTCTGGAGACCCAAGCAGCAAAGATACCCATGGGGAAAGCCCCACTTATCATCACAAGACAAAATGAAAAAACCAACAAGGAAACGAGTCACCACAAGAAAGAAGCTGCACCCAAAACAAACAGAAAGGCAGGACAGCCAGGGTCTGCAAGACTTGGGTCCAGACTGCATTTCTGCCTCTTAGGGCATCACCGATCAATGGACATGAGTTGGAGCAAACTCCGGGAGATGGTGAAGGACAGGGAAGCCTGGTATGCTGCAGTCCATGGGGTCACAAAGAGGCAGAAACTACATAGCGACTGAACAACAATGAAGAGTATGCTTAATGTCCCCTTAGAGCCTTGCTTAAGAAGCATATATTTTTTCTGTGGGTTACCAATCAATGAAAAAAAATAAAAAACAAAAATCAAAAACACACAGGCCCCTACAGGAGCTCAATAAAAAGTGACTATTGTTAATGTACAATAGTCAATCATCTTGACAGGGACAGAATAAAGGGACAAAGTAGGTGATTAAACAGTCCATCCCACTAGGGGATTATAAATAGAAAAATATGGGAGACCCCTGTAAGTTAATGATTACTCAAGAAAGAAGATTTGCTTAACCACAAAACCAAGCAGGATTGCTCAGTCACATAACCATGTAACAGAGGCTCAGGACATGCCCCAAAACAATAAAAAATGGTGACATGAGCCCCTCCTCCTGCCCCGTGAACTCAGTAAGTTAATGAATCCAAGGACATGCTCTCTGCACACAAGAAGAATAATTGGCGGACCACACAGGGACAAGAAAACTCCTCTACTCAACCTGGGGGAGGAGGAGCTGATGCTGGAAGCATGACATCTCTCTATTCAAGAAAGTCAAAGAAGTTCTCTTCCCCCTCCCCACTTTTCCTTGGTTTATGAAATTGTAGGCCAGTGAGTCCTCAGGGCACAGCATTTCTGGCCCGCCCGTTGGTAAACCTCACAAGCATCCTATCCTAATAAGTCACTTCTTATCTCTCACTTTGCCTCTCGCTGAATTCTTTTCCTGCGCTGAGACATGAAGGACTGGTACTAGAGCTCTTCAGAGCCCCCGGACACAATACCCAAATGGTTACATCCTAAGCACCTGAAGTGCTCAGCTCACAAGGGGAAACGGGTCAGGGAAAGAAGAAATTACTTAATGCTGATGGCAAATTCTGCGGCATCCTTCACCCTCTGCCGCACCAAGAACGTCCCATCCGAGCGGTTGGTAAGAATGCTTTCCGCCCCGGCTCGCTCCATGGGGCCAGCATACCTGTCAAGACATACCAAGAAGAGAGGTTCACATAACTCTGATGGGTACACCTCGGGGAGGCAGTGGGCACTAGACCCCTGTAAGTCACACCCAAGCTTTCACAACTGGATTGCAGGAGATGACACAATCCTTTGGGTGTAGCTATGTCTCAGTGCGATACAGGAAGAAATATATTTGTTCTCTATGCTCTCCACCCTTTTCTGGCATATAACTCCTAAAACCTTTGGAATCTCCAATATGTCTTTTTAAAATTTGTATTTATTTCTACTTTTGGCTGTGTTGGGTCTCTGCTGCTGTGTAGGCTTTCCTCTAGTTGTGGCACAGGGGATCAGGAGTTGCAGCTTCTGGGCTCTAGGGCACAGGCTCAGTAGTTGTGGCACACAGGCCTAGCTGCGCCACAGCATGTGGGATCTTCCCAGACCAGGGATCGAACCTGGGTCTCCTTCATTGGCAGGCAGATTCTTTACCTCTGAGCCACCAGGGAAGCCCAATCAGTGTCTTTTTGTATGCTAATAAGCTGATTGGGGCTCTTCTTTTTTTAATATTGACTTTTATTTACTTGGCTGCCCTGGGTCTTAATTGAGGCATGTAGGATCATCGGTCTTTGTCGCAGCTTGCAAACTATTAGCTGCATGTGGGATCTAGTTCCCTGACCAGGGATCAAACTCAGGCCCCTTGCATGGGGAGCTTGGAGTCTTAGCCACTAGACCAGGGAAGCCCCTGGGGGCTCTTTAATAGCCTCAGGATGAGGGTTAGTAGTCAGAAGAACCATGTAATTAGAGGCTTGAAATTTTCAGCCCTGCCCCACCTCCACATCTGCGAAGATGGAGTCCATCACTAACGACCCATAATTTAATCAATCTTGCCTATATAAAGATGCCTCAACCGAACTCCAACCAAATAGTTTTGATTTTTTTTTTTTTGCGGGGGGTGGGGGGAGTGGTGTGGGGATTCCCAACCACCACCACGTCATGTGGGATCCTACTTCCCTGACCAGGGATTGAACCTGTGCCCTCTGCATGGGAAGTGCAAAGTCTTAACCACTGGACTACCAGGGAAGTCCCAACCAAAGTGTATGGAGAGATTCCAGGTTGGTGAGCACAGAGAGATACTGGAGGTGGGGTGGGCAGCTGAAAGGCCAGAGAAAGCATGGAAGCCCTGTCCCATTTCCCCGCACCTTGCCCCAAGCAACTGTTCCATCTGACTCTTCCTGATTGGAATCCTTTGATAATAAACAGGTAGTCTAGTAAGGAAACTATTTCTACAAGTTCTTGGAGTTTGTGTTAGCAAATTATTAAACCCAAGGAGGGGGCTATGGGAAGCCCCCATTTGTAGCTGGTGGGTCAGAAGTCTGGGTGACCCAGGCTTGTGATTGTCACCTAAAGTGGAGGGGTATCTCTTGAAGCGTGTTAGTTACTTAGTCGTGTCCAACTCTTTGCAACTCTGTGGACTGTGGCCCACCAGGCTCCTCGATCCACGGGACTCTCCAGGCAAGAATACTGGAGTGGGTTGCCATCTCCTTCTCGAGCTGATCTTCCCAATCCAGGGACTGAACCCAGGTCTCCTGCATTGCACATGGATGTTTTTTACCATGTGAGCTAGGTAAACCGAGCTAGAAGCCGAGCCCTTAATCTATGGGGTTTGTCGCTAACTCCAGACAAATAGTGTCAGAATTGAATCGAATCGTAGCACACCCAAGCTGGTGTCTGTAGAATTAGAGAATTATTAGGTGTGGAGGAAAAAAAAAAAAAAACCACCACACATTTGGTTTCAGAACTATTGAGAGTATGAGTATAGGAAAACAGCTGTGGGTTTTTTTTTTCCTTTTACTCTGAAATTTGGCATTTCTGGAAAGGTATTTACTGAGTGTCCACTGTTTGCCCACCTTTGGGGTCACCAGGATGGAAATAGGATGAGGAGAGTGAGACACAGCCTCGGGTACAAAAATTAAAGAGCAAGCCAAAAAACTCAGTCATCAGGGTAAATAACAACAAACAAATAATAACAAAGAAAATAAGTAGCACTTTAATGCGATATTTTCTAAATTGCAAAAGCAGCCAAACAAAGGAATGAAGTACTGATTAAGTGCTATAAGGTGAACGAACCCTGAAAACGTGGTGCTGAGTGGGAGAAGCCAGTTACAAAGGGCACACAGTGTAAAATTCCATTTATATGAAACACCCAGAACTGGCAAATTCATGGAGATGGAAAGTGTGTTCACGGCTGTCAGGGTTTGGGGAGGGAGAGGAGGGCTCACTGTTAACAAGGGGGGGTTTCTTTTGGGGGTAATGAAAATGTTTCAGAGCTAGAAAGAGCTGCTGGTTGCATACTATTGTGAATGTACTAAATATCATTTAATATAAGTGTGAAAAATAAACAAAGATGTGACTACGAATATATTTATGCTACAAGTGCAAATATACAACAGAAATAATATATATTAATTATAGCTAATATATAATTATATATGATGTATCAGCAAGAATATGAATATATTAATAGCATAAATTTAAGAATATAACATAAAAATATACATTAGCATTAAAAATATACACTAAATATACATTAATATACATTAATATAGATAACACATAATTATAAGTGATATAAAATATGATGTCAATGTGTTTATGCTATAAATATAAACATTAATATATAACAAGTAATATATATTACATATAATTATAGACAGTACATATGGAATTAGTATATAACATAAATAACATATACTATAGATAATGCATTTATGATATAAATATGAATTATTTATTATATATGTAAATATATAACAATTTATATTATATACCATATAATTACAGATAATATATGTGTGAATATGCCTATATGCTCTAAGTGTGAATATAACATAAATAATATATGTTAATCATACATTTTTGTTGTTGTTAAGTCGATTAATCATGTCTGACTCTTTGCAATTCCATGCACTACAGCTGGCCAGGCTTCTTTGTCCATGGGATTTCCCAGGCAAGAATACTGAAGTGGGTTGCCATTTCCTTCTCCAGGGGAACTTCCTGGCCCAGGGATCAAACCCACATCTCCTGCATTGTCAAATATTAGCAGGCAGATTCTTTACTGCTGAGCCACCAGGGCTTCCCATAATATACATATAACCTAATATGTATTAATTATATATTTTTAAATATATAACTAATTACATTATGCAATATATAATTATATTGATAAATGTGAATATGTAATATAAGTGTAAACAATAACATAAATGCCATTTTAAATGGTTAGTTTTATGTCATGTAAATTTTACCTCAATTTTGAAACTAAATTTAAAAAAATCCATGGTGAATAAAATGTCGAAACTTTACATAAGGACAAGATCTGACTCTGCACGTGCCTGGCTGACCACAATTCACCTTTCCCTACTCCCAACGCTGTCATATCCTGTCATGATTTACAGTTTTGATAGTTTGCCCATCATAGTTGTTTTGTTTTTTTCCTTGCTTTTGTTTGATAAAATATCACATTAAAAGAGTATGGCTCTCAAAAAAAAAGAGCATGGCTCTCAAAGTTGGAGTTTTGGGCACCCCCTTCAATCCTTGTTGCACGCAGAGTCAGGGTCTCTCTCTCTCCCGACCCCAGTTCCGGCCGTAGTGGCCTCACTTGATCACATCTGACGGGGCAGGGATACAGTGAGCATCATGCCTCAGGTGAACACAGTTTAAACCCTGGGTCTGCCACCCAGCTGCCCTGTGACCTCAGGAACTGAGTGTGCTCCTCTGAGCCCTAACTGCCTTCTCTGGAAAGAGGAGATAAAACTGCCCGTCACAGAGGAGGATTTTTGACAAAAGACAAAGAGGCAGTTGAAGCACCTCATACGTGGCGGGTGTTCACCACATGGGAGCATTGTTAGGCCCTTTGTGTAATAAGGTTGGGCTTTGAAGTCCTGCAGACTTGGGTGCGAATCCCACCTCTTTGACTTCCTTGCTTTGTGACACTGAACAAGTTACTTGCTGCTCTCGGTTTCCTCCGTTGCAGAAAAAGATTAAGAAGAGTATGCACTCAAAGCATTATTACAGGAATTGCACTTAAAATGCTGACACAGTGGTCATAAAAACAATACCACAGTGCGTCAAGTCTAAGACATCAATCATTGTAAAATACACCATGCTTTCACGGGCAATTACGAAATAAAAATTACTGGTTTCCCTGGCGGCTCAGATGGTAAAGAATCTGTCCGGAGAAGGGAATGGCTACCCATTCCAGTATTCTTGCCTGGACAGAGGAGCCTGGCAGATTACAGTCCGTGAGGTCACAGAGTTTGACATGACTGAGCAACTTAGCATGCACATGCACCCATAAAAATTAGGCAAAAGAACTGAGACACCACTAATTGTAAGAGCCATTCCAATGCCAGAGGCGTTAAACAGCGAGAGGGTAAAATATGCATTTTACAATGGATGAAATGTGGTCATAACAGTTAATGCTATTAAGAACAGATAATAAAGTGCTTTTTGCATGTCAGGAATAGAGCTTAGCACTTTACAGGCTCATGGAAACGTCTTAACAGCCTTATGAATCAGATATTGTCACCAGTCTGTTTTCCAGGGAGGAAAGCTGAAGCACAGAGAAGCTGAGTTACTGGCTAAAGGTCACACAGCAGGATAATGTTAGAGTCAGGATTGGAACCAAAGTCAGTGGGCTCCGAAGCAACAGCATAAACCTCCATCCCTCACTGTACTCAAAGCAGTAGGTTCTCAAAAGAAGGCAGGGGGAGAGGGAGAAGAAGCTCCCATTATATTGTCACCGTCATTTTCTTTCCACTAGAACTTAATATCCCAAAGTCAAGGATCCTCTTTGGTCTGTGTTCTCTCCTCAGCAGCCCCCAGTGTAGGGCTGGACCCAGTAGTTAACGCCCAAAGTTTGAAGAGTGAATAACTGACTTCTTTGCAGCCCCTTGTGGCACTCCAATGTCCAGCCCAAACATCCACCCCAAAGCACCCCAAGCTGAAAATAAGAAAGATGGTTCTACTCACCAGAGGTGAACGGACAGGTCTTGAGGGGGACCCTGGGGACACAGACAGAGACCGAGACTTAGGGAAAGGGTTCAGCGCGGCAACAGACTTCAGGACACTGCGTTCATTCATTCCACTATCATGTACTGGGGTCTATTATGTGCCAGGCACTGTGCTCTTCTCTGGAAATACAGCCCCAGAATCCAGTGGGAGAGATCAGTCCACCCCTCCCAAATGAATCAGCTTTAAAGAGGCAGCTACGTGTGTAGGCAGAAACTGGAAAGACACTCAGATCTTGACATGTGAATGCCAAGTCCCACGGAAAGGATCCTGGCTCCTTGGAAAAATGGTTGATTCCAAGATTGGGGCAGAAAGAGTACAAGAGCAGCCTGCTCTTGTCCTAAAAAGTAAGGAAGGGCTCAAGAGAACAATGAGGTTATGTCAAAAGGACAGAGGAGCCAGGCTGAAGGGGCTCCCACTGGTCCAGTGGACCAGTGAAGTTGCCCAGTAATGTCCAACTCTTTGCGACCCCATGGACTATAGCCTACCAGGCTCCTCCATCCATGGAATTTTCCAGGAAACAGGACTGGAGTGGGTTGCCATTTCCTTCTGCAGGGGATCTTCCCCACCCAGGGGTCAAACCCAGGTCTCCCGCATTACAGGCAGACGCTTTACTCTCGGAGTCACCAGGGAAGCCCTAAGCCCACTGGTCCAGGCCAGGACAACATTAAAATAAAAATCCAGGAACATTTCCTGAGATAGATAACACACAGATACACAGAGAGACACATAGATGATTGATAGATACATAGATAAATACAAAGGTGATAATTAGATACATAAATGATTGATAGATACAGAGATGGATATATAGATAGATACATAGATAATGCATGGATACACAAGTACATAGACACACAGATGATTGCTACATAGATACACAGATGAATATATAGATGATTATTAGACAGATCCATAGATAATTGATACATAGATGCAGACGGATACATGGATAGACACACAGATACATAGATATGCAGGTGACTGACAGATTCATAGATACAAAGATGATTGATTGATAGATACGTACATACATAATGCACAGATACACAGAAGAGACAGTTCTTTACAATAAGTGAAAGTGAAGTCGCTCAGTCGTGTCCAACTCTTTGCGACCCCATGGACTGTAGCCTAACAGGCTCCTCCGTCCATGGGATTTTCCAAGCAAGAATACTGGAGTGGGTTGCCATTTCCTTCTCCAGGAGATCTTCCTGACCTTGGGATTGAACACAGGTCTCCCTCATTGTAGGCAGACACTTTACCATCTGAGCCACCAGGGAAGCCCTTTTTACAATAGAATATCAGCTAATAACTTAGGAAGAATAATGGAGTTAAAAATTCATAATGCAACTCCACAGTGGAGAAAGGACCCCAAGCCAAAGAAAAAAAAGCAAAAGATATTTTCTGGAAAATTGGTAAAGTGCAAATACATACTCTGAACTATATAATATATAATTTATATATTATAATTTATAATATGTGATAATTTATAATAATAGAACATCCATGCTGAATTTCATGTTTTCAAAAATCACGCTATTAATATACAAGAGAAGGTTCCTGTTCTTGGCAGGTATTCAGAGATTAAATGTGAAATGTGTCTGTAAACTTACTTTGAAATGCCTCAATAAAAAATAAATAATAGGCATTTTCTAAATAAATAAAATGTTCAGAGAAAGATGACAGAGCCAATGAGACAAAATGTTAACAATTGGTGAACTGACTAAGAGATACATGGGAGTTCTTTGCATTATTCTCAAGACTTTTCTGGGAGCCTGAAATTACATAAAATGAAAGCAAAAAAAATGGGAGAGACTTTGTCTCTGCAGGCTCTTATGAGGGCTACAAAGCGGGCAGCGGGGTAGTGAGGAAGAATGAGGTTTGGGGAGAGTGGGGAAGATTTGAAGTCATTATCAAGATGAGGAAATCAAGAGAGTGGGAAACAGGTGAAGAAAGACAAGCGCCGGGCAGAGGGGTGGGCAGGTCTGCTCCCTGCAGAAGGAGGCACCACAGGGGATGTGACCCCATAGAGGACTCTATTTGGTGCCTCTGAAGGAATGCAGGGGTTGGCCAGCCTTCTGAACCCCTGTTCCTTCCCCAAGTGATGGAGAAGATCTTCATACAAGAAGAATCAAGGATGGAGGTTCTTTAAAAAACTAAAAATACAGCTACCATATGACTCTGAAATCCCACTCCTAGGCACATATACAGAGAAAAACAGGGTCCAAACGGATACACATGCCCCAATGTTTACTGCTGCACTGTTTACAATAGCCAGGACATGGAAGCAGCCTAAATGTCCATTGTCAGAGGAATGGACAAAGATGTGATACGCATATAAAATGAAATACTACGCAGCCATTAAAAAGAATAAAACAATGCCATTTGCAGCAACGTAGATGGAACTAGAGATTGGCTTCTCTGGTGGCTCAGCTGGTAAAGAATCCACCTGTAATGGGGGAGACCTGGGTTCGATTCCTGGGTTGGGAAGATCCCCTGGAGGAGGGCATGGCAATCCACTCCAGTATTCTCGCCTGGAGAATCCCCATGGACAGAGGAGCCTGCGGGCTACAGTCCACAGGGTCACAAAGAGTCAGACGTGACTGAGCAACCAAGCACAGAGATTGTCATACTGAGTGAAATAAGTCAGACAGAGAAGCAGAGACATCATATGACATCCATTTTATGCTAAATCTAAAAAGACATGATACAAATGAACTTCTTTACAAAACAGAAACAGACTCACAGGAACATAAAGAATAAACTTATGGTTGCTGAGGAAAGGATGGGAGAGAGTGAGAGTTGGGAATTTTGAGATGGACATGTATACCCTGCTATATTTAAAATAGATAACCAACAAGGATCTGCTGTATGACACAGGAAACTCTGCTCAATGTTATGTGGCAGCCTGGATGGGAGCAGGGTTTGGGGGAGAATGGATACATGTATATGTATGACTGAGTCCCTTTTCTGCCCACCGGAAACTATCACAACATTGTTCACTGGCTATACTCCAAGACAAAATTAAAGGTTAATTTTTTAAAAGTCATATGTTCATGTGTATGTAATAAAAACTGAAATGTAAAAAATAAAAATAAAAAGAACCAAGGAGAAAAGGACTGGCCATCCTTCCCAGGGTGAACCTCTCTCTGGGCTCAGTCAGCAAGGTAGGGAGTGACATGCCATGATGGGCAACCCCTCCTGATCTCAGGAGCATTCCCCTCAATGCTGCCCACCCTCACAGGACCCTCTCTGCAACCCCATGCCCTCACTCCAACCAGACTGAGGCACTCACATGCACATAGGGCTTGACCCTATTGCAGGGAAACCAGCCGACTTCATTGGTAGACGTATTCCTTCCCTAAAAAGATGGAAGGGAGAGATGGACAGAGAGGTTACAGGCAGCCACCCTGCTTGTGTGTATCCATCTTTCACCCAACAGCCACTCTGCTTGGCTATCTATCTCTCCATGACCTGGAATGACCCAGAGAGGGGCCAACCGGTATCAAGTTCCAGAAATACCACCAGCCCAGAAGGGCCAGGTCAGCCCCAGAAATCCCCATAGACATCACCCTGCCTGGAGCAAACTTCCACTGCCAGAGTGCAGGGGGAGCATGGTCCCACTCCCAAGGCCACCTACACCCTGACCCCACATTCAGTTCCTCCCCTCATTCCCATAGCCCCAGCCCATACCTCCCACCAATTCTGTTCGGCCTCAGCCTTAGTGAGCTCCACGATGTCTCCTGGGTTGAGGCGTAGAAAAGGTCCAATGGCTCCAGGGGGTGGGGGCAGCCCGTAGTATTCCTGGAACACCTCCATCTTGGGCAGGCCTGGAGGGGAGGGGAGGGGAGGGGCTGATACAGTGAAAGTCCAGGACTTTCAAACCCAAGTCTCGCCACCCAGCAGGATGGCTAAGTTAAAAAGACAGACAATACCAAGTGGCGGCAAGGATGTGGAGCAACTGGAAGTCACCTGGATTCCTGGATTTTTTTTTTTTTAATTTGAAGAAGTTTTTAATAAGAAAGTATCTAAAATAATTTTTTTTGCATAAATGGGAAGGGTGACCACAGCTCCACAGCTCATTCCTGCATGACTAGTAGGAACCCACTTTGGAAAACTTCTGGGCACTATTCACTAAAGCTAATTCCACTCACGAATACATCACCAAGAGAAATGAAACACAGGTCCCCAGAGAGTCGTGGATGAAGAATGTTCACAGCAGCTCTATTCACAAGAGCCAAAAAATTGGCAACATACCCAATGTCTTTAACAAGATGGATAAACACAGCATGAAATAACCGTATCATGGAATACCATATAGCAATGAAAAAGAACGAGTGACTGCTTCAAGCAGATACACTAATATGCTGTGAGAGTCCATGCTATACAACTTCATTTGTATGAAGTTAAAGGGCAGGCAAAACTAATCTGTGCTGATAGAGGTCAGAAAGTGGTTCCCTCTGGGAGACAGGACAGACTAGCAGTGAGTATGACCAGCACCATCCAATAAAACTTTCTGTGATGATGGAAGTGTTCTATACATTGATCTGAGTGGTGGTTACATGGGTAGAGATTCAGTGAGCCATATTCTTAAGATTTATTCATTTTACACACTTTATGGTATGTATTTTCTATCTCAAAAGAAATATACCTGTCTCATAGAAAATTATATATATATATTTCAATAGGAAATTATAGAAAATTACACATTTCTGTCTCAATAGAAAATGATAATTATATATACCCATATAAAACAGATATGAGCAAGAGTATGTATATATATATTCAAACATATATGTGAACATATACATATTGTTTAAGTATCTATATGGTGGATATATACGCACATACACACATTCATATATATTTTCTCCTACTGAGGACATCTGGGTTGTTTCTGGTTTTTGACCAGTAAAGCTAAGATGTACATTTTTTTTATAAAGCTGATTTTATACATATATATTATTACATTATATACATGTATAGCATATATCATATATGTATTCCCACTGTTGACCATATTTGAGTTGTTTCTAATTTTTAACTATTACAAATAAAGCTGAAGTACCTATAGCTATAGACATAGAACTATAGCTATCTATAGATATAGATATAGATAGACAGATATGAAACTGAATCTTTATATTGCTTCTGAGCAAAGAGTTTATTTTTCTTGGCCACACCAAGTTCTTTTTTTACTTTGTGGCCACACCGTGCAGTATGCAGGATCTTTGCTCCCCGGCCAGGAATCAAACCCACACCTCCTTCATTTCAAGGCAAATTCTTAACCACTGGACCACCTGCGAGGTCCCCCCTAGTTCTTGAATAAAGTCGTGCCCTACTCACCCCCTGCTTCCTAGGCTTTGCACATGCTGTTCCCTCCGCCTGGACCACTCCTGCCACCTCATCCGTCTAGCTCCACCTCATCTTTCAAGGATCCACTTTCATGCCTCCTCCTCTGAGCAGCCTTCCCTGATGGCTCAGATTCATCAGGGATGAATCTGTGATGCTCCGGAAAACCCTCTACTCCTACCAACTCAACTGGAATAACTAAGCCAAACCCTGTCTCCCGCTATGCACCTGGGAGCTTTGGGAGGACAGGAAGTATCCCATTTTTAGTCACCAGTTTACCTCAGAGGATATATACAATAGATGTTGAATAGAAATTACTCATCGTGACTGTGATCCCACAGACACTGTTAACATATACATGAATTCAGCCTTTCCACCACCTCCACCAGACTAAAAAGAATTCTGGCTTGGTCAAACTGCATCTCCTGCTCCTTACCTTTCAGGTGGACTATGCTTTGCTGAAACCACCCTATTACGATAAGATTCTGTGACACAGAATCCAGGCGAAAGGGCATGAGGTGTACCCAGCCAGCTAAGACTGCAGATGGAGTTTGTCAGCAAACAAAAAAAGGGAGGCTGGCCAGTGAATAATAAAGGTGAATGGGAGGGGGTGGAGGAATAAATTGGGAATTTGAGATGGACAGATGCACACTACTATATATAAAGAGATAAACAAGGACCTACTTAAATACAGGGAACTATATTCAATATCTTAAAATAACATACAATGGAAAAGAATCTGAAAGATGAAAGATATCTGTATAACTAAATCACTTTGCTGTATATCTGAATCACTGTAAATCAACTAAACTTCAATTTAAAAAAACACCTGTGTACATAAAAAAGTGAATGGGAGGAAAGAGCACGGTAACAAGGATTGCCATGTTCCAAGTACCCCCTTCACAGTGTTTAAGCAAAGCTAATAACAAATTGACTTCACCATTTAAAACTTCCTTTCAAGTTTCTGGGACTAGAACAGATGCCTTATAAGTAGGATGTTATGTGGTCATTAACATAATCATTGAGATCTCTCCCTGGGTCAGCATCACTGAGGCAAAGACTAGATTTCTTTCTGTCCTGCAGAGTGTCTGGTGACTCACCCAGTTCATTCCTCTTTTTGTCCTGAGCCCGCCGATGTGGCTTATCCTGGAGGGAGAGACCGAAAAAGCAAGCATGACTATCTGCACCCAGTCCAGGGGCTCCTCAGCCCTTACTTGCCTGTGTGTGTGCCTGCTCAGTCACTCAGTTGTGTCAGACTCTTTGCAACCCCAGGGACTGTAGCTCGCCAGGCTCCTCTGTCCATGGGATTTCTCAGGCAAAAATAGTGGAGTGGGTTGCCATTTCCTACTCCAGGGGATCTTCTAGACCCAGGGATCGACTGGGCATCCAACCAAGAGCCACACCCACTGATAGAGTCTCCCAGGTCCTTCCTTCCTGACTCCTACCCCAATTTTCCATGCACAGAAAGGAACTTGGGGGTCTTACCTTCTTCATAGTTCCTGAATAATCTATGGGAAGGTAAAGGATATATTGGTTAGAATGGGGTGGGGGGCGGTCTCACGCAGAAACCCCCCTCCCAGCTCAGTCCCCTAGTACCTTGTCCATGTCGACCACAAGGAGGGACCCTCCCAAGACACTCCTTATGTGCAGGGGCTCGGCACCGTTGACAGCGGTACCCCTGATAGAAAGTGCCTCTGAGATGCAAGGAGGAGATAAAGGAAGGAGTCAGTGATGCTGAACAAACACAGCCAATCATTTTGCCAACAACATAAAGGGCCCCTTTGGGTTTTCTTTAGAGCAGAAAAGAGACAGAGAAGCTGAAGATCAAAGGAGAGCCTCCACCCTCCCAGCTCAAGGGCATGATGACCAGGGAAGCCCCCCCACTCCAAAGAGGAAGGGCCAACCCACCCCAGCATCCAGGTCCATCCTCCCAGACTCCCACCTCAGCAGCATCTGGCAAGCCTTGCAGGATGTTGTCTCCTCAAAGGAAAACATCTGGAAGTCATGACCATTGGCAGTGGCGTTCTCAGGGTAGATATTGGAGCTGGCGAGGGAAGAGAATTCCATGCAGTGGAACAGGATTCAGCCATTAAAGGGAATGAGGTATCAGGACACGCTGCAACCTGGATGGATCAAGACCTCTTTCCTTTTTTACGGCTAAATACTGTTCCATTGCATGGGTATGCCCTATTGTGTTTCTCCATCCACCCACTGACGGACATTTGGATTGTGACCACCATTTTGCTATTGTGAATAGTGCTGCGGGGAACACAGGTGGAGACAGAAAGTGGGTGAGTGGGTGCCAGGCGCTGGGAGTAGGGAAAACAGGAAGTGACCACTGCTTGAGTGCAGGGTCTCATCTTGGGGTTTGAAGATGTTTTGGAACTAGATAGAGGTGATGGTCGCACAGGGTGAATTTACTAAATACCACTGAATTGTGCACTTTTTTAAAAGTTTTTTTTTTTTTTTTTTTTTCTGTGGACCATTTTAAAAGTCTTCATTGAATGTGTTACAATATTGCTTCTATTTTTTATGTTTTGGTTTTTTGGCCACAAGGCATGTAGGATCTTAAGCCATGTAAAGGGCTTCCCAGGAGAAGCAAATACACATCCACAAATCTAGATTCATACACACGCATACTTATACCTATGGCTGATTCACGTTGATGTTCGGCAGAAACCAATACAATATTGTAAAGTAATTATCCTCCAATGAAAAACAAATTTAAATAAAATTTTAAAAAATTAAAAAACAAAATCACACTTGGGACTTCCATGGCTGTCCAGTGGTTAAGACTCCATACTTTCACTGCAGGGGGCGTGAGTCTGATCCTTGATGGGGGAACTAAGATTCCACATGCCACGTGGCCAAAATAAATAAATTAAAATTTTTTAATTAATTTATTTAATTGGAGGCTAATTACTTTACAACATTGTAGTGATTTTTGCCATACATTGACATGAATCAGCCATGGGTGGACATGTGTCCCCCATCCTGAACCCCCCCCACCCACTGCCCTCCCCATCCCATCCCTCAGGGCTGTCCCACTGCACCGGCTTTGAGAGCCCTGTTTCATGCATTGAACTTGGACTGGTGATCTATTTCACATATGGTAGCATACATGTTTCGATGCTAAATCTCACTCACTCACACACACACACACACACACACACACACACACTGGCATTCCAAGGGCAAAGCAGAGAGCTCAAGTGGCATTGAGGGTCCCCTGCATTGGGGACCCCAGTTACCACCTCCGAGCCTTACCTTCTTGTTGTCCCTCTCTCCGGAGGAGTCATCTCGAACCTGGAAACTGTGCAGGTTCACAAAGTCCTTGAGGTCGTAGGAGTCCCCTCGCCGCTTACAGATGAGCAGAGCTTTGTCAAGCAGGAAGGCATACCTGGAGGCAGTCAAGTGTCCCTGTCTGGCTCCTCCCTAGGCACCCAGCTCCCTAAGTTCAGCCAGCTCTCCACCTGATCCCCTCCCACTTTCCGGGCCCACTCTGCTGTCAATCTAGGAGTCTGGCTCTCTTCTCCTCAGTGGCCAACTTGGCCACACCTACCTGTCTATCTTGACCTCACCCATTTGATTCCTGCTGTTCCTGCCACCTATCCTTCTTGGCTCCACCCACACAACCATGCTGGCTTTGCCTCTCCTCTCAGTCTAGGCTCCACCCACTGGTCCATATGGCCACACCCACCTACTTCAGATGGTAAGGAATCTGCCTGCAATGCGGGAAACCCAGGTTCGATCCCTAGGTTGGGAAGATCCCCTGGAGAAGGGAATGGCAACCCACTCCAGTATTCTTGCCTGGAGATTCCCATGAACAGAGGAGCCTGGCGGGCTACAGTCTATGGGATCGCAACGAGTCGGACACGCCTAGACGACTAACATTTTTTTTTTTAACCTGTCTATCTAGAAATAGCACCAAGCCCTTGCCCAGACTCCATCCTAGATCTGTGTTGGCTCCACCCACCTGCCTAACCAGTAGCCTGGCCCCGCCCCTGTCCAGGCTCCGTCCCAGATCCGTATTGGCTCCGCCCACCTGTCCATCTTGGAGCGCCTCTCCACCGAAGTTATTTTCAGCTCACCATCGATCTTGGGTCGGCCGTAATGGGCTAGAGACTGATCCTACACAGCAGACAAGAGGTCTGGCAAGGGGCCCCCAGGAGAAGATGACACCCCCTCCCCAGGTGGCCACACCCCGGCCCTCCCCTCCCACCCCCTCACCAGGTTCTCGATGGACAGCTGGAAGTTGGTAATCTGCCGCAACGTCTCATTGTCCCGCTTGACCTCGTTTACGCACTGTGCCAGGTCCTGGGGGTGGGGCAGAGGTGAGCCTGGGTGCCCCCCGCCAGCCTTATCCCCCACCTGGCAGGGGATGGAGGGTCAACCTCCAGCAGGGGGCAGCGGGAGAATGTCACTGTCCGCAGGGGGGATGCTGGGAATAAGTCATTCGAGGTATAGGTGTGTCCCCTGCTGTGGAGGGAGGGGGCCGCCCGTGGGTGAGGCCGTGCCTGGGTGGTACTCCCTGACTTAAACCCATGGGTATCTGTGTGGCACCGCCATCCCTGTGTGTGACCACTCACCCTCATGGCATCTAGGGCCAGCCGCAAGTTGTCCTTCTCCATTGCATCCTGTGTGTGTTTCACCAGCTCCTGTGTGACCCACAGAGATGCACATTGCCTGGGCCTGCCCCCTCCTCCTGGGGGGCCTTCCAAACAAGCCTGGCCCACCAGCTCCTTCTTCCTCCCCCTGCTGTCCCTAGAGGCGGGGGCACAGCCCCAGTGATACCCTCCCAGAGATGGAAGCCCAGCCCCCAGCAGTCCTTGCAGGGAGATCTATGTGCCCCTAGAAGCCCATGCCTTCCCCTCTTTGTGCACCTGGAGAAGGAGGTGATATTTCAGCACTCGCTGCATGGGAACCATCAGCAGGTCCCTTAAGGTGAATCTCCCGTTGTTCGCACGCTGAGAACATTCCTAGGAGGTTGGAGAAAGGGGTGAGTGAGGAGAGGTGGAGGCAGGTGGGGATTGTTCTAGACCTGAAGCCTCTTCTCCCCGCTCCCCAAGGAAAGAACGAAGAACGCCACAGGGTGAGGAGTGACCAGATGGAGGCTGCCTGGGGTAGAGGTCCAGGATTCCTCAGCTGAGGGGGGTTCCAGAAAGGGAGGTAGACAGGCCTGGAGGGTCCCCATGATGGAGACCAGAGAAATTGAATGGACAGCAGACACTGGCCATCCCTCATCATCCCTGCTCCATCGATGCTTCCACTAGACAAACGGATCCAGGTTGGGGTTCAGTCCAGGATCCGTGCTCCCTCCAGGATCAGGGCTTGGCTGGGATTGGGGCTCTGTGTGAAGTGGGAACTCAGCCCAAAACTGGGGTTTGGCCCAGACTTGGTGCACAGACAGGGTTGGGCCTCTGGCTGGGGTTCAGGTCAGTGTCAGGATCCCAGGCTGGTACCAGGGCTCCATCCAGAGTACAGGGTTCAGCTGGGGTCAGGGCTCAGCGCTCTGGTCTATCTCCTCCTGCTCAGTTTCTCCCACTTGGCTGATCAGTACCTCCCTCCCCAGACCTTCAGCGGGCAGACCCCTGGCTGGGCTGCACCAGGAAGGGATGCTCTCTCCAGCTCAGTCTCCCCCCTACTGCCCCCCAGAGAGTGGAAAGGAGTGAGAGAGCTTCCCCCCGCAAAGATGGAGCCCATCCCCTACTTCCAGCTTCATTTGTACATCCTCCCGGGCTGTGGCCACGCGGTCCAGGTGCTTGCTGGCCGACTCCACTTGGCTGCAGTAGCGGCCATAGATGAGGAACCTGCAGGAAGAGGGCAGGCGGCCGGGGAATGACACTGGCACCAAGGTGTCAATCCCGGCCCCGCCTCTTCCCAGCTGGATGCTGCTGAGCTTCACTCTCCCTGTCTATAAAATGGGCATAACAATAGCCCCTCCCACATATGGGTTATTGTAGTATTAAATGTGCACAAGAAGCTCTTAGTGGAGCACCTGGCATATCAACTCTGCTTAATGTTCATTTATTTAATAAGAATTTATTGAACACGTACTTTGTGCCAAGTTCCACATTAAGCTCTGTAGGATTCCCGGGTAGCCCAGCAGGTAAAGAATCTGCCTGCAGTGCAGGAGACCCTGTTTGATTCCTGGGTCAGAAATATCTGCTGGAGAAGGGATAGGCTACCCACTCCAGTATTCTTGGGCTTCCCTAGCAGCTCGGCTGGTAAAGAATCCGCCTGCAGTGCAGGAGACCTGGGTTTGATCCCTCGGTTGGAAAGATCCCCTGGAGAAGGGAATGGCTACGCACTCCAGTATTCTGGCCTGGAGAATTCCATGGACTATATAGTCCATTGGGTAACAAAGAGTTGGACATGACTGAGAGACTTAAAAAAAAAAAAAAAGGCATCAATTTATTCGATGCTCACCACAACCCCAAAGAGGTACATTCTTGGATCACACTGATTTTAGAGATGTAGAAGCACAGAGTGGTTAAGTGACTTTCCAGTGCCATAGAGCTCACGAGAGGAAGAGCTGGGAATTTAACCAGAGATGAGCAGTCCTGTGCCCACAAAGAAAGAAAGAAAAGCCTTCTCTGTTTGGTGGTCTATGAGGCAATGTCTCCCGAATGCCCAGCCTGGACAGGGCAGGGTGACCTCCAGAGGTCTGGGCTGGCTGACTGGGTCTCACCTCTCCTTGTATTTGATGAAGACTTGGTAGAGGGTGGGTGCACTGGGGTTGGCCAGGGCTTCCTTCATCTCCTTTAGGAAATGGGTGTGCACACGAAGCAGGTCCTACTTGGAGGGAAGGGGTGAGGGTTGGAGTGGGAGCCTAGAGCTGGGGATGCTGGGTGGGAGAAGGATCATCCACCTACCCTACGTGGTTCATCTCCCTACCCCCACACCCCAGGGACAGGTGAAGCCAGCAAACCATCCCCACTGGACGGAAGCCTGGGAAGGTGGGCATCAGTCAGCTCACCTCAATGTTGATGAAGATAATCTCGATGTCTTGGGGTTTAAGGAACCGCTGCAAGGGCTTCATAAAATGCTGTGGGAGAGTGGGAAGAGAAGGATGGAGAAGGGGAAGACTCCTTCTTCCAGGCCAGTCCCAGAGACACAGAGATGAGGAGACAGAGATGGAAAGGGACAAATAGAAACATAAGAGAAAGGGAGAGAGAGAGAGATGTGCAGAGAGAAGGAGACAGAGGCAAGGAAACAGAAAATGAGAAAGAAATGGAGAAAGTCCACACAAAAACCTGTATAGGACTGTTCCACACAGAATTTATCATCATAAATCCCCAAAGTGGAAACAACCCACATGTCCATCGACAGATGAATGAATAGCAAAATGTGGTCCACCCAGAAAAAGGAGTGAAGCACTGACACTCACTACAGTGTGGATGAACCTTGAAAACATGATGTTCAGCAACAGAAGTCAGGCACAGAAGGCCACACAGTGACTGAGTTCATTTAGATGAAATGTCCAGAATAAACAAAGCCACAGAGACAGAAAGTAGGATAGTGGTTGCCAGGGAGGGGCTAGGGGGAAATTGGAGTTTAAGGGGTGATGGTTAAGGGGTGTGGGGTTTCTTTGAGGGATGATGAAAATGTTCTAAAATTGGGGATTTCCTGGTTGCCCAGTGGTTAAGACTCTGTGCTCTCACTGCTGAGAGCCTGGATTCAATTCCTGGCCCAGGAACTAAAATCTCACAAGCTGCAAGGCCAAAACAACAGAAAAAGAAAGAAAATGTTCTAAAATTAAACAGTGGTACACAACTTTGTGGGGTTCCCAGGTGGCGCTAGTAGCAAAGAACCCACCTGACAATGCAGGAGACACAGGTTCAATCCCTGGGTCAGGAAGATCCCTTGGAGGAGGGCATGGCAACCCACTCCAGTATTCTTGGCTGGAGAATCCTATGGACAGAGGAGCCTGGCAGGCTGCGGTCCATGGAGTCACAAAGAGTCGGACATGAATGAGCAGACATACAACACTGTAAATCAACTATACTCCAATAAAATTTTTAAAAATAAACAGTGGTGATGGTGGCAAACCTTTGTGAAAATATTAAATTGTAGATGTTCAATGGCTGAATTGTATGGCATTTTGATTAAATCTCAATAAAAGGCTTAAAAGAGAGATGGCCAGGGACTTCCCTGGTGGTCCAGTGCTTAAGACTCCATGCTTCCACTGCAGGGGGCATGGGTTAGTTCCCTGATCCAGGGAACTGAGATCTCACATGCCACATAGTGCAGCAAAAAAGAAAAAAGAAAGAAAAAAAAGAGCGAGAGATGGCCAAAGGAAAAAGAGGAAGTAGAAAGTGAGAGACAGCAATAGAGATAGATGGACAAATGAGGATATAGGAAAAGAGGGAGACAGAGATAAAGAGACACAGAAGGAGAGATATTCAAACAGAGGGAGAAGTAGGGAGCAACACCGAGGGGACCAGAGGCTATGAGAGACGAAGACATACGGAGCAGGGAGGACAGGAAACATCCCCAAGCCCGCGTGCGGTGGACGCTGCCTCTCCACTCTGCGCATGCGCCTGGCAAGGGCCAGGTCGGAGCATCACGAACCTGTTGGATGGAGCCCAGCGTATCCGTGTATTTCTCCTCCGTCTGCTGGATCTCCCGCAGACAGCAACACCGCTTGTCATACTCTGTCATCTTGGGCTGAGAGCGGGGAGGAGAGGCTGATGTTGGGGTGTCCGGGGACGCGCCCCACCCATGAGCCTGCCCAGCCCGGCCCTGCGCCCCCACACACCGGCATGGGTACCGGCTCCGAGCGCATGAGGTCCTCGTAGACCTCGTCGCCCTCCGCCTCCTCGTTCTCCACGCAGTCGTACAAGTCCTCATCCTCCTCCACCGTGTCGCTGCAGGACGCGGAGTCAGGCGGAGCCGGGGAAGCCCCCGGACCAGGGACCCTCCGACACCCCAGGGAGAGGCCAGGTCCCCTCAGACCCCCACCCCCCATGGCGGGGCCTTGTCTCCTCAGACCACCAGGGCAGGATCATGGTCTCAGACACTCACTCGATCTGATCGGACAGTCCACTGTAGATGTCTTCATCACCCACACTCTCCTCAGTGGGGAAGGGCCTGGGGGAGCCGAGATGGTGTGAGCACAGACCCAGGGGGGCCAGGTGGGCAGGGGGCTTCAAGGAGGAGGATTAGAGCCCAACGGGGTCCAGAGCTGTCGGCTCTCTTAGTTACTCACATGATCCCCTTGTTCTGGGCAATCGGGGTCCAGGACAGAGCGGACAGAGTGTAGATGACCTGTGACAAGGGCCAAGGCTGCTCAGCAAGCCCCTTGCCCACCCGCGTGCCAGAACACAGCCTCCAAGCACTTGACCTTAAGGTTGGACTTCATGTCCCTGGGAGCCCAATTCAGAATTTTCCCACCTTCCTATGTCCCCACGTCAGCATGTCCACATTCCCTTAACTGAGCTCCCACCACTTGAACCCTTTGTTCTAGTCAATCGTCATAACCACTCAGACAGAATGGGATGATCTTATTTCCAAGTTACAAAGGACCTAGGGCTCAGAGAGGCACGGCCACATATCTGAGGTCACACAGCAAGTGATGGGACAGGGACTCAAGCTGGGTTCCACGTGTTCCAAACAAGGCTCTTTGCACCTGCTGTAAACTTGTTCTAGCCCAGCAGTCCTTCCCTGACAATGCTTGGTTTGTCCAGTGTAGACATTCATGGAAATGAATTGAAATCCAGTCTTTGGGCTCTAGGTGTCCAGCTCACAAGCAGCTCAGTCCCATCTTACCTTGCCAAAATCCTGCACATCGAAGAGGTCGAAGGCCTCGAAGAGTTCACTCCGCTTGAGGCCAAACTTCTCATAGCAGGTAGACAGGAAGGTGCGGATATTCTTAAGGCAGAGGAACTGCGGGAAGAGAAACGAGGTTGGAGGACACAAAATGGGACGGGGAGAAGTTGACTCCTGGCCGTTGGGCTTGAGGTCTGGCACAGAAGAGGAAAAAGAAGGCACAGCCCCCTCTCAAGAAAGATCAGGCTGTACCTGAAGCCACCTCTACCCCTGCATTTTTTTTACTGAGGTAAAACTCATAAGATACAAAGTTAAGCATTAACAGATAACAATCTGGTGTATATAAACAATGGAATGTTACTCAGCCATTGAAAAGGAATGAAATTTTGATTTATGCTGCATCACAGACAAACCCTGAAAACATTATGCTAAGTGAAATAAGCCAAACACAGAAAGATGAAAGTTGTATGATACCACCTATATAAGGTCCCTAGAGAAACAAAGGGAGAAGAACCAAATCAACAAAATTAGAAATGAAAATGGAGAGATCAAATAGAAACGGAGCAGAATCGGTACCAGAGGCCGGGGGAGGGGATGGGAGTCTGTGTTTAATGGGCACAAAGTTTCTGTTCAGGATGATGAAAAAGTTTTGGATATAGTGGTGTTGGTGACACAACATGATGAATGTATCAAATGCCACTGAATTGTATACTTACAAGTGGTTAAAATGGCAAGTATTATTGATATATTTTATATATATATAATTTGTATATTTTCATATAAAATTTATTTATAAAACATACTTATTTTATCTATAGACAATGATAAATATGTATAGTTTACCACAATAAAAAATTTAACCATTAACCACTTTATTCATTTTTAAATTAATTTTTATTGGGGTATAGTTGATTTACAATGTTGTGTTAGTTTCCGCTCTCCAACAAAGTTTTTCGGTTATACATATACATATACCCACTCTTTTTTAGATTCTTCTCCTATGTAGGTCATTACAGAGTCTTTTTTTAGAGCAATGTAAAAATATTTTTATTTTCAGAAATAGTAGGTGCAAGCATTTAAGGTTGTCTAGTACTATTGTACAAATGATCTTCAGCTTGTATACAAAATACCTGACACAGGGATACCCTATTTTTTTTTTATTGGAGGATAGTTGCTTTACAACGTTGTAGTCATCTCTGCCATTACACAGTCCCGAGCAGAGTCCCCCTTGCTACACTGTAGGTTCTCATTAGTTACCTATTTCATAGTCACCGAGTGGTGGTGGTTTAGTTGCCAAGTCATGTGAAACTCTCCGCAACGCCAGGGACTGTAGCCCTCCAGGCTCCTCTGTCCATGGGATCTCCCAGACAAGAATACTGGAGTGGGCTGCCACTTCCTTCTCCAGGGGGTCTTCCCGACCCAGGGGTCAAACCGGTGTCTCCTGCGTTGCACGTGGATTCTTTACCGCTGAACCATCAGGGAAACCCATTATAACCATTAACCATTTTAAAATGTCCACCTCAGTGGCATTTAATGCATTCGCGGTATTGTGCCATCATCGCCCCCACCTAGTTCCAAGACAATCTGTCACCCAAAAGGAAATCCTGCACCCACGAAACATGCACTTTGCGTTCCTCTCTCCCCTCCCTTCTCCCTGGCAACTGCCAGTGTGCTTTCTGTCTCTATGCTTTTATTTATCTACGTCCATCAATTGATACTAGGTACACAGCATGAGGTGTAGCTAAGCAATAGAACACAACTCAGCTGCAAAAAGGGGTGAAGGACTGGTGCATGCTACAAATAATCAAAAACATGTTCTGTGAAAGCTGCCAGACAGAAGGGCACATATTTTGTGGTTCCATTTATATGAATCATCCTTGGTAACATTTATATGAAATATCTCGGATATTCCACTTATATGAAATATCCCTGCTACTGTATAGCACAGGCAATTATATTTAATATTTTATAATAACCTATAATGGGCTTCCCTGGTGGCTCAGTGGTAAAGAATCCACCTGCAATGCAGGAGACACAGGTTCAATCCCTGGGTCGGGAAGATCCCCCGGAGAAGGAAATGGCAACCCGCTCCAGCATTCTTGCCTGGGAAAATCCCATGGACAGAGGAGCCTGGGGGGCTACAATCCATGGAGTCACAAAAGAGTCGGACACGACTTAACAACTAAACTACAACAGCGACAACAACTCTGGGATTCTACAATATTTGTATTTGGGGATGCCTACTCTATGTAGTTGGGCACTCAGAACTGTCCCATTCTCTTGATAACCCTGTGGGGTTTTAACGCCCATTTTACCTAAAAGGAAGCAGGCTCAAAGAGGGAAGGAAAGTTGCCCAAGATTATTAACAGCAAGAGTGACTCTGTGGCTGGGAATTCCCTGGTGGTCTAGTGGTTAAGACTCTGCGCTTCCAGTGCAGGGGGCACAGGCTTGATCTCTGGTCGGGAAATTAAGATTCCACAAGTCGCAGAGGTGTGGCCAAAAAAAAAAAAAAAATTCTATGCACAGAGAACTCTGCTCAATATTATGTAACAACCTAGATGGGACAAGAATTTTAAAAAGAACAGATACATGTATATGTATCACTGAATCACTGGACTATACACCTAAAACTAACATAACATTGTTAATCAACTATACTCCAATATAAAATAAGAATTTAAAAAAGGAAAAAGAGTAAGCATGTGGCATAGAAAACACATTTCTGGTTATCAAAGGGGAAAGGCTGAGAGGGTGACAAATTAGGTGATGGGGATTTACAGATACATACTATTGAATATAAAATAAACAGACAGGGACCTACTGTATAGCACAGGCAACTATACTCAACACCCTTGAAATAACTTACAATGGAAAAGAATCTGAAAAAGAATATATGGCAACCCACTCCAGTATTCTTGCCTAAAGAATCCCCATGGACAGAGGAGCCTGGCAGGCTACGGTCCATGGGTTCGCAAAGAGTCAGACACGACTCAGCAGCTAAGCCCAGCACATACACATATATAACTGTATCATATTTGCTATGTACTTGAAACTAACCACACCGTAAAATTCTTGCCTGGAGAATCCCCATGGACAGAGAAGCCTGGTGGGCTATAGTCCTTAGGGTCACAAAGAGTTGAATATGACTTAAGTGACTTGGTACGCACAAATCAACTATACTTCAATTTTTTTAAATCAAAATAAAAACAAACAAACAAAAGTAAGTCCATGGAAGAGCTGAAATTTGATTCCAAGATGGTGTGAATCTGGAGTCGATTTTCTTGACTATAACTTCATTGCTTTGCATGCAGTGGAAGTCACCATGAGCACCTGCCACATGCTCCATTCTCAGCACTTTCTATATATTGTTTTAAATTTATGTATCTTCAAATTAAAAAAAAAAATATATATATATATATGTAAGGTAAGCAACAGGATGGTTTGATATGCTTATTCATAGTGAAAGCATTACTACAGTCAAGCTAATTAACACTTCTCGTAGTCACCATGTTTTCATGTGTAATGAATGCACTTGAAATCTGCTCCCATAGCATAGTCATGGTGTTCAATACAATATTACCAAGTACAGTCATACAGTACCCTAGAGCTCCAGACTGACTCCTCCTAAGTAATTTCAACTTAATACCCTTTAACCAATATCTGCCCATTAATTTCCCCACACCTATCCCCAGCTCCTTGTACCCATGGTTCTACTCTGCTTCTGGAAGTTTTACTCTCTCTGTGTAGAGAGGTCAGCTCATCAAAATGAATTTAAAAATTAAACAGGAATGCTTCTACTGTGTGTGTCCCCATTAATTATAATGTTCACTGTCGGTTCCTAACAGAAATTATGTTTTTCTTTTTCTTTTTTTTTTAAATTGAAGTATTAGTTGATTTACAATGTTGTCTTTGTTTCAGGTGTACAACAAAATGATCCAGACATAGATAGATAATTCTTTTTCAGATTATTTTCCATTATTAGTTTTTGCGAGGTCTTCCCTGGTGGTCCAGTGGTGAAGAATCTGCCTGCCTATATAGGCGACACAGGTTCAATCCCTGATCAGGGAAGATCACACACGCTGTGGAGTAACAAAGCCCCTGTACCAAAACTATTGTGCTCACATGCTGCAACTGCTGAAGCCCATGAGCCTAGAACCTGTGCTCTGTGGCAAGAGAAGCCACTGCAATGCAAAGCCCACATACAACTACAGAAGTCCCCATGGGATGCAACTAGAGAAAGCCAGCACAGCAGTGAAGACCCAGTGCAGCCAAAAAAAAAAAAAATTAATAAAAAATAAGTTGTTATAAGATAATGACTATAGTTTCCTGTGCTATATAGCAGATCTTTGTTGGTCATCTATTTTATATATAGCAGGGTATATATATTAATCCCAAACTTCTAATTTATAGAAACGTTTTTATCCATTTAAATAAGTTTCTTTTTATTCCTTGCTTCTTGGAAAGTCTTTGTATTTGCTCATTTCATTGAATCAGGAATGGATGTTGACTTTGATTAAGTGATTTCAAAGACCTGTACAAGACAAGTAAGTGTATTTTGTTCTTGATTCTATTAGTATAGTGAGTTATATTAATCAAATCCCCGATACTGAATCCTTGGTTCTTTTGAAGTGACTCTCAACTTTCCTCTGCATTTGAAAAAGGTAAAAATGAGTCACACAACATCTATGGGCTCTAAAATGTCAGTGTAAGACCCTGATTATAATTTCAGTGTCATTAATTCCTGCTGCTGCTGCTGCTGCTAAGTTGCTTCAGTCGTGTCCGACTCTGTGCGACCCTATAGACGGAAGCCCACCAGGCTTCCCCGTCCCTGGGATTCTCCAGGCAAGAACACTGGAGTGGGTTGCCATTTCCTTCTCCAATGCATGAAAGTGAAAAGTGAAAGTTAAGTCGCTCAGTCATGTCCGACTCTCAGCAACCCCATGGACTGCAGCCTAACAGCCTCCTCTGTCCATGGGATTTTCCAGGCAAGAGAACTGGAGTGGGGTGCCATTGCCTTCTGATTAATTCCTATGTATCTAAAAATTATAGATTTTTGGAGGCTATTCCGCCTCAATATTTGTGAATATTTTTGCTCTCACGCATGTGGCCACATTTAA